CTTGCGGTGACCTTGCGGTGACCTTGCGGTGACCTTGCGATGACCTTGCCGCGACCTTGCGGTGACCTTGCGGTGACCTTGCGGTGACCTTGCGGTGACCTTGCGGCGACCTTGCGATGACCTTGCCGCGACCTTGCCGCGACCTTGCGGTGACCTTGCGATACGCGCGCGGCAGCGCAGCACTCGGACCTTTAAATAACGACTCGCGCCAAACTTTCAAACTTTCTGCTCGAAGGCTGTCCGACCCGATAAGGACGCTGCAATGAACGCGGCATGACTCGCTGCGGTCCGTCCGTCCGTCTCTGTCGCACGCACGGGCTGTGCCGGAGTGCCGGAGGGGTGCGAGAGAGACAGGATAAGAACCAAGTTGCGCGCCGAAACAAAGTAAGTCGGCGCCGCCAATTACGAGACTGCACTTGCGGTGGCACCGTGGCGCTTCACACGCTTTTTTTCCCGCTTTCTTCTTCTTTCTCCTCGACAGTCTTGTTGACGGCGCGGCGGTGGCGGCGGCCGGCAGAGTGGCGGGGCTGGCCTGCCCATGCCCTGCCGCGACGCAGCCGGTCAGACGGCAACTTTTACCGATATAGCCAGCGGACCGACCCAAACCGATTCACAGGCAATTAAAAGATTTTCAACTTCCCAAGTGGTTCCGGTGCCGGGTCGGCCCGGTCCGGCTCGCCGCGCCCTCCAGCAGGGGCAGCAGGCTGAGAGCCGTTTTCGTCGCTCCGTCTCTCTCGCCCTCACCAGGCGCTTCGTGTAGGTGCACGAGAGAGACAGAACGACGAAAACGGCTCTCGGAATCAGTCTTCAGACAGCAGCTGGCGCGAAGATTTAAGCCTTCCGAAGACACTGTGGACGTGTTACTCTGTGGGGGAAGCCACCGGACACGGCGCGCTTCCGGCGGCTTTCCGGTGCCCTTCCGCGGTGGTTTCCGGTGCCATCCGGTGCGGCTTCTGCCTCACAGACAGACCTCGTGTGCCGGGATTCCGAGTTCTATTTGCACCGTCCACTCCTCCACCGACAGTCCAACAGGAAAAACACAACAACATAAAACCAACTTAATTTGGTCGTTGAACCCTGGAGTCCCGTAGTGCTGCATAAAAATCAGCCGGGCTGCCGCTTCGGACTCCTCTGTAGGGCGTTGCGGTCTCGCCACTGTAAAGAGGTTTATATGCGTCCCTTCCGCCGGCAGGGACTCCCCCCCCCCCTCCGCGCTGGACACGCTGGACACCCTGACAGCCAAATTGAAGTGCCGCCCCTCCCCCTCCTGCTATGTGTCCTCGGGGCTCCGATATGATCTGCTTGTGAATCGTCCCCGGGATCAGGGACCCTATGGCGGGGCCACCACCCTGGCCCTGGCCCGCCGGGCCGCCTACAAAGACTGATTCCGAGAGCCGTTTTCGTCGCTCTGTCTCTCTTGGACATTTACGGAACGCGCTGTGAGTGCGAGAGAGACGGGCCGACGACCCTCGGAATCAGCCTGACTTGCTGGGCCGCCCCACCCCGCCCGCCGACCGGACAAGTTGTTGCCCGGCTGCGGGATACGATACCGGCACCCCAACAAGAAAGCGTCTCGCTGGGACGGAGGAAAAGGGTTCGCGGTAGCCGAGTGGTTTGCAACACCCGCTTTCTGAACCGCCTCGCACGGGTTCAAACACCGCACTTTTTTGACTCAATTTTTTCCCTTTTTTTTTGGTGGCCGCTTTTGTGGGCGCAGGGTGGCAAAAGGTGGGGTCATTAATCCGCGGGGGTGGAGGAGAGACGCGGGGCCAATCTGCCGCCGTGTCGCCTCCCTTCGCGCCAAATAGCCGAAAAGTGTCGCGGAAAGTGACGTCTGGGGCGGAATTCGAAGATGAGTCGGCGGCGCGGTGACACGTCAACATCCCTCGTGCTGATGACCGGTGAGGTCGCTGCCACTAAGCGTCGAGGCTCGGCACCCATTCGTACAAACGCGCAGCGTTTCGTTGCGACTATTCGGCCAAACAAACAACACTTGAATAAAAAAAAATCTAGCGTTAAAAAAGGGTGAAAATAAAAAACTGATCGATTTAGTGGTGTAATCCCGTTTGTCCAAACAAACGCACGGCAAGTGTCACGTAGTGCATCGCCACGCCGTGGCCACGCCGTCCCCGGAGGACAATGCACGAAACGCGAAGCCAGCGAAGCGCGCGCCGCAGCGCGCCACTTTTTGCACCCAGTAGGCCAGGCCCGTTCCGAAAGCGCTGTTTTCCGGCGGCGGCGTGCCCCGGTCCCTGTGCCGAGGCTATTACCGAATTTAAATCGCTCGCAGTCGCCAATCTGACAGCGAGCGAGTCATCATTGGGACGCAGGCCAGGCCGAGCCGGGCTGGGCCAACCTGGGCCACCCCTCCTACTCCCAGGCACGCCAGGTTAGGGGCCAAAGGTGCGGGACTCCGTCTCTCTCTCTCTCTCTCTCTCTCTCTCTCTCTCTCTCTCTCTCTCTCTCTCTCTCTCTCTCTCTCCAACACGCGCAAAACCGCGCACGCCGCGTCCACCGCGGTACCATTCCGCTTCGGTCACTGCGGAGAAAGTTATGGCGAGGGACCCGAGCCATTCAGGACAGGCAGACCTTTTTTTTTGTAATGCTCTGCGTTCTTTTTATTTTATTTCTTTTCCAATTTAGAGGACAGTCATGAGATTGTAAGAAGGAAGATAATTATTTGCTATGTATTTTATATAATTGCTGACATTTAAACGTTTCGTCATCAGTCTCTCTAGGTGTTTTTGTTATGTATCTGCTTGTGACTGACCCATTCGCGTGCCCTACTTCACCCACACGGACACACGGACAGAAACACACACACACACAAACACGGCTGGGAGAATTTGGAGGGAACGGAAGATTAGTTTCAGTCAGCGTGGCTCGCATCGCTCCGTTTGGTTAAGGGCAGGGACGGGGGCGGGGCTCAAGCAGGGCTAGGTCGGGGGAGGGGGGGGGGAGGGGGAGGGGCGGCGAGAGAGGGAAGGAGAGAGAGGGGTGAGGATTGTGTGTGCATGTGATAGAGTATTTATCACAAGCTTTTTCTTATTGAGGCCTCACCAGGGAAATGGGGTGGGGGGCATCCCTCAACAACACGCCGTCACTCACACACAAACACACAGACACACGTACACACACCAACAACAACACACCTTTTTTACGTCTCGCTCATTCATTAACCCGTTCTTTTCCCGCGCGTCCAGTGGGCCGAGAGGAGGGCGTCCAAATTCGCAGCCATATTTCCTTGTGAAAAGCTCATCAATGTTTTAAACGCAATTTGACAAAGGATGACGGCCGAGAATGAAGGGGGCGTCCAGCAAGGGTGTTTTCGTTGCTGTTTTTTAGCAGATGATACCTTCACACTTGAAACATACTTAAAATTACTATACACATGAAGGTGTCAGCGTGCTTTTACTCTCGAGTCCAGAAACGAAGCGCGTATCCTAAACAATATAATAGGGGCTGCCGGGGCGGGCTGGTGCGTGTGGCTGGCTGGCTGGCAATGAGGCGCAGCCTGCGCGGAATTCGACAATCCTGCCACCCCTGCAACCTAACCAACACCGGCCACCTCGCTCGGGTCTATATATTTTGTTTCATACACAATTTTAATTACTATCTTTGGAATGAGCCCGCATACTACCCCGTATAAGGAAACCGAACGAGTATTGACTGAGAAATTTGAAAGGGAAAAGAAAAAAATTTGAACTCTACACCCCCTCCCCAGTCTTAATGGGGAGGCCTCCTGCTTTACTTCGGTGTTCGGGATGGGAACCGGTGCTATCAGGTACCTGGGGGTTTAAACCCGTCAGCGACTCTAAGCGTTCGCCGGGGGCCCCAGTAGGCCCCCAAAGCTCAGGCAGCTGGGTGAGAGCCCCCAGTACGAAGCTCTTTGGGGGGCGGGACGTAGAGTAGACGACAGAGAGACAGAGAGAGACTCAACAGAGAAGAGGTTTGGTGGGAGCTTTTTTTTTTCGTGGGGTTTGGGTTGTGTCCCCCATGGTACCCCCCTGTCCGGCGCCCCGTACCGAACATACAGCGTTTTAGGCCAGCTTAAAGGACTTATCATCGCCTCCCCGACAATCAAGGGGGCACCACCCGAAACCCACACACCGGATGGTTGGATTGATGGATAAAATACTCCATCGCTCCGTGCCGGGGCCCAAACCCCGCCGAAGCGGATTGCTTTTTAGACACCCACAGCGGAGTGGCCGGGTGAATGTGACTCGACCACACGCTATCACGTTTGTACGTCTGGCAGCGTGTTGGACGAGGGTTTGATTTGCAGGGGGGAAAGGCGTCGAAAAATGTAATGAAATGATGAGTTTCGATCCCCGGACCCGCCATCGGGATCACACGACTTTACGCTCTCGGCCCCCCGGGCCCCATGATGGGGGGAGGCGTGAGGTGGGTTTGAGCAACAGGACTCGCCGACCCGGTCAAAATTTCGAAAGGGTTGGGGGAGTCGAACCGCCGACCCTAGCATGGGAAACCGACGCCTCACTCCTGGACCACCACGCCCCTGCAGGAGTGGGCTCACTTTCAGGGGTTTAAAACCGCACGGGTGAGGCAGAAAAATTTAAATGGAAAATTTGTTAGGAGTCGAACCCCCGGGCATGTGGGTCTGTTGCCACGGCCGCTCATGGCCTCGAACCACCCCCTTAGGATATAAGTCGAAAAAACGTATGTGACGCTGGTATTCGAACCCCGGGCCTGCGGTAACTCGATCCCAGCTCTACCCTCTCGGCTATCACAGCAGTTGTGAAACGCGAGGGATCATCTGCTTTCATTAACGTTCGTTGAATGAGAATTTTTTTTTTTTTAGAGGCAAAAACTGAAAAATAAAATTACTGAACTGGAAACGCGTCTTACATTTTTGTGTGACCCGGAAAACGGAAAAAGGTTGACCGCTGGGGCAAAACATCGACGTTTGGGTAACCCCCCCCCCTCCCCCGCATCGAGCCACTCAGGTCCAGCACCGGCAACCAATACGCCATACTCACTCGAACTGGGACCCGACTGTCTGGGCGAGCGGTTGACGGCGGTTGAGCTAGAATCTAGCGATCCCGTCTGCTTTCCGCTGAGGGAAGGGCCTCACTGACGCATACTCACTGTACGGGTGGTTGTGCTGTTCGGAACGGCGCGGTGTTTAGGCCGAAGAGTGCGAGGCTGGCTGGCGGGGCTCGGGGCCGACTATCTTTAGATTATCTATAGCGATGCTTCGACCTCGAGGAGAGTCGAGCCGCCATTTTGGATGACGCAAGGAGGCGGCGCTGGACTGTCTTGGCGAAACTCGCGGCAGCCAGGCAGGCAGCCAGGCAGAGGTCAGGTGGTGACACACAAGAGGCAGGAAGAGGTGAGCAGCCAGCAGCTTTGCGGGTGATTACTCGTGGTGTCCGGAGGAGAAAGCGGGGGGAAAGGGGGAGGGGGGAAGCCGTGTGCCATTGTGCCTCACACACAACTTCCGCCATAACTCTGTGCCGTGTCACCGCGTCCTCTAAGTGTCCCGCACACATTTCATCAAGGCGTCCACTCCAGCGAGGGCGGGTCCCTCCCTGGGCGCGAGGCGTGGCGGCTGCTTCGGCGAATCCCCCCTCCCCTCCTCCACAGCCCCTCGTCAGATTCCCGCCAAAAGTGCGTGGCGCCTCATTAAAACCACGGCCGCCGCCAACCTCGCGGCGCAGGCCAAACTGCATTTAAACAAACCCGCCTTTTTCTCGACCCTTTTTTCTCTCTCTTCGTCTCGCTGTGATGCACGGTCCCCCCCCCCCCTAGTCCCGCCCCTGCGGGCCCTACGGCTGTTTGAGGCAAGCGGAGCCCTTGGTAGAGAGACAATACAGCGGCAAACTTTGCCAGTCAGAGAACCCTGCCGCCGCCGCCTCCCCCGCCCCGCCCCGCCTAGCCACCGCGGCGGGCGACGGGGCCCCCAAGTGCCCCAGTCACACACATCAATCGACGACCCTCCCCCCCCCCTCCCCTCCGGCCAGCCTGCAGGCGTCCGCCCCGCCCCGCCCCGCCCCGCCCCGCCCCGCCCCGCCCCGCCCCGCCCCGCCCGGCGCCGTGTCGGGAAGCGTGTTTGGATACAGTGGGGAGTGCACGCGCTCCTTCGGGCACACTGATTCGCGTCCTCGAGTCGCACAGCGCGCAGCCAGCGCACTGTGTCGCCGCAGCACAGTGGAGTGGGCCACGAGCCCGGCGCCGGCGGCTCAAACTCTGCTCGCGAGTCGCTAAACAGAACTCGAACCAAACGTGTGACCCCACCAATGGATTCCTCGCTCGGAGAGCAATCCATTGGTGGGGTCACACGTTCGGTTCGAGGCCCATTTAGCGACTCTGGAGCTCAAAACGCGTCCGGGATTTTGACCGCCTGGCCCACTGGGCGCAGCCCCGCTGGACGCGGCGGCGGCGGGGCGGTGCACTAAGAGATCTTGTTTCACAGTTTTCCAAGTTTTCGTCCCTGATTGCGGAGCCGATCTCTCAGTGTGGCGCGGCGTCCCGTCCCGTCCCCGCTCCACCTGACAATAGGGCCCCGCGTCATCCGGGAAGTCCGGAAGTACCGGAAGTGCCGGAAGTCCTTCCCGACCGCCAGAGGACGCGGTGGGGTGAGCGCCGGCCGCGCCGCGCCGCCCCGCGGAGATGACCAGCCTTCTTCTTGTTTTACTGGGCGGCCCGGCGGGGGTCCGGCATGGGTCGACCGTCCGGCTCATCTGGGGCGTCTCCAGCTGTGCCCTGTAGTCCGATTCCGAGGGGCGGCGCCCTCGCTCGCGGCGCCCCCAAGGAGTGCGAGAGGGACAGAGCGACGCGGTTCGGACTCGGCCTGCCGACCGCGATATCAGATTCAATAAGCGGGCCAATCGGCGCGGACCGGGCAACGCATAAGGCATAAGGGAGCCCGAGGGGGCCGAAGGGAGCCGAAGGGGGCCGAGGCCACTTCGGCACTTCCGAGGGCACTTCTCGGCGGCGACGTGTGCGACATCAGTGTGGTGGCTGACTCGGGGGCCGACATGGCTTGGGCCGGCAGCGTGGCGGACCAGCGCGCCTGCGGGGTAGGCAACTTCCCCGCCGCAGCACAGCGCTGTGCTCGTGCTGCCTAACTCCCAGGCGGTCCGAACTCGAGACGCGTTTTGAGCTCCAGAGTCGCCAAATGGGACTCAAACCGAACGTGTGACCCCACCAATGGATTGCTCTCCGCACGAGGAATACGTTGATGGGGTCACACGCTGGGTTCGAGTCCTGTTCAGCGACCCTGGAGCTCAAAACGCGTGTGGAGTTTTGGCCGCCGGCGCCGGTCTTCTGGCCCACTGTGCGTGTTGCCTGCCACGGCGCCAGGCCCGGCAGGCAGTGCAGTGGTGCACACAGCCCGCTCATCCCAGCGGTGCAAACTTGGCCCAACGCCCCAAAGCCCGAGCCGACCCCGCCCGACCCGGCCCGGCCTCGTGTACACTAGATCCCTGTGGCTTGAGCTAAGTTGGCCGGGGTGGGGGGAGGCCTCTTTAGCCCCTCTATCTCCGACTGTCTGTCCGTCTGACTGTCTGTCTGTCTGTCTGTCTGTCTGTCTGTCTGCCCACCGTCTGAGTGGCTGCCTGTGTGCGCCGAACATTACCTCGGCGGTGTGAGTGTTGCGGATTTGGGCGTCCAACAAGTGTCTGGGGTTCGCCAGGTGAGGTGGCCTGGTGGGGACCGGGGCGGGGCGGGGCGGGGCAAGCCCGACACGATAATCAACAGTTATGTAGGCAGTAGGCCGTGGCTCGGAACGACTTGGCGGCGGAAATACTTCGGGAAACTTTTGGGGGAAGCAGCAATAACACTGATAAAATGACTTTCACGATGAAAATTTCCCTGACACCCCACTGTGTCCCCACACTAAACACGGTCAGATCTCTTTTAAAATTTGACTTTCGTTGCATCCAGATGAATTCAGCCAGAGCCCCCAAAAAAAATGAAAATTGTTTCACGGGGTAATGGTTTACCGTTGGCGGTGACGCGAGCGAAGAGGCGGCACTCGAGCGGGTGGTCCCCAAGGAGGGTCGTCGCAAGCGGCGGGCCGGGCCGGGCCGGGAGGGTAAGCCCGAGGAGTGGGGGCAAGGTCAGAGGTCGAGACGTGCGGCTACGCGCTGCGTTCACCTGTGGAATGCCGCCTCGCTGTGTGTGTGTGTGTGTGTGTGTGTGTGTGTGAGTGTGTGTTTGCACACGCGCCAAGCCGAGACGCGTGCCTTCGGACACTGCCCCGTGGCTGTCGGCTTGTGCGGCGCGTGCCGGCTACTCGCGGAGTGCACCTCGCGTTCCTCTCACGCTGAAGCCCGGGTTCGAACACCGATCCGCGCAGCCTTTTTTTTTTTTTTTCGAGTGTGCGTGTTTTATTTTTCAATTTGCGCACAGCCGATCCACACAAGCGAAAGGGAGGAAGACTGTGAAGATTGCAAGAGCGTGAAGGGGGAAGGGGAGGTTTACGAAGTAAGCACCAGCCAGGGGTGTCACTCCGGTACAGCGCACCCCGCGCAGTCACTCGGAATGCCTGAGGGGAGGGGGGAGGGGTGTCCGGACAGAATGGAGGGTGCGGTGACAGGGGTTGTAGTGCCGGGGGCGGGGCGGGGCGGGGCGGGGCGGGGGCGGGGCGGGGCGGGGCGGGGCGGGGCGGGGCGGGGCGCAAAGGCATCTGCTGAAGACGCCGCGCCGTCAGCCTCGCCCGGCCCGCCTCATGGCGCGCCTCTGTGGGTCGAGGCAAATTGAAAATAACCCAACCAAAATGTACCGACCGCAGAGAATAAACAAAGAGACTCCACTGGCGGAGTGGCGGGGCGTGGCGGGGCGGGGCGGGGCGTGGCGGGGGCGGCCCGGGGGTCCGTATGCATGAGGGAGGGTCGGGGAGGGAGCGTGTCCCTGCGAGGAAGAGGACCGGCCGGCGAATGGGATGTGACGTCTGTAATCTGCCTCTCTCGTCCCCGCCGAGTCATCCAGTCCGGCCCTTGCAGTGGACTGGGTGCCTGCGCGAGCCTGAGATCCCGCTGACCGTGCTGACCTAAACAGGTCTCGAACCGAACGTGTGACCCCACCAATGGATTCCTCGTTCGGAGAGCAATCCATTGGTGGGGTCACACGTTCGGTTCGAATCCCATTTAGCGACTCTGGAGCTCAAAACGCGTCCAGAGTTTTGCCCGCCTCCACCGGTATTCTGGCCCACTGTGCGCGGGCGGGGCCAACTGGGCCAAAGTCGTGACCGGGTAGCCCGCCGCGAGGAATCCGGCATAGAAACCGTGGCAAAAAAAAATAAATAATCAAGTGCGACTTAGACCCAGCTCTTTTTTTGCTCTATCTCTGCTTGGCTACGCCACTGGAGGCAGGACGGGACAGCCTCCCGAATCAGGGCGATAAAGCGAAAAGACAGACGGGCCGGCGGTAGGGAGAGCCGACTTCGTCGCTCCGTCTCTCTCGCACCCCTAAGAACGCCCCACGGGTGCGAGAGAGACAGAGCGACGAAAACGACTCTCGGAATCAGTGCGCGCTGGCGGCGGGGCGGGCACTGGAGCAAGCCGACAGCTAAATCTGGACGGGGCGTGTGGAGCCGTGGCGGTGCCGTGGTCACGGCCGCCTGGATCACGGCATCACGGCCGGGGAATCACTTAAAAGGAAAACAGAAACGACTCGGGCGGGGCGGGGCGGGGCGGGGCGGGGCGGGGCGGGGCGGGGCCGACCTAAGGCCGACCCGGCGGCGGGGGATGGGATCTCGGTCTCGGTTTTGGACGACGTCTATCCCGGCGGGCTTTGGCCGCGTAGCGCGCTGCGCGCAGAGACACCCCCCCCCTCCCCCCCTCCCCCTTCCAGTGGCAACTCCTCGACCTTCCCCTTCACTTTCGGGGGCAGCCCAATTAAACGGGGGAAAGGCAAGGCCGGGCAAGGCTGGCTCCGTTTGGGGGCGGTCTCCGAGGCGAGCCGGAGACCCCTCCGCCTCGGGGGCAGCCCGAACCAAGGCCCGAACTTGCTTCCCCAACCAAAGCTTGTCCTGCAGTTGTTGTCCCGGTACTCGGTACCCTAGTCGGTGCTCGGTACTCAGAACTAGGCACTCCACTCAGCGAGGCGGGCCGTGTTGACCAGCCGTCCCGTTATTGCAGTCCAGGTAAACCCGA